CATGTGATCAGCTGCTCCTCAGGTCATGTGATCAGCTGCTCCTCAGGACATGTGATCAGCTGCTCCTGAGTGTGAGCTCAGAGGAGACGTGCTTCTGCTGCTGCAGCTCCTAAACTGTGGAACGACCTTCAATGAACATCAGACTCTTCCCTGTTTTTAAATCCTTCTTAAAAACCATCGCTTCTCCCTGACCTTTGACACCATCTGAGATGTTGACTTTTAATTATTTTAACTGTTCTTTATTGTCTGACTGTATGATTGTTTGATGTGTTCAGCACTTTGGTCCTGTGGGTGTTTAAAGTCTCTATAAATAAAATTGTTGTGGTGCAGATCAAATCTAAAGCCTTTTGGTAAATTAGCCCAATTCTTTTCAAATTACCTCGAGGGCATCAGCTATGCTAAAGAGAAAGTTGTTCTGTCAAACGAGGAGCTAAGTGGTTTGTATTTGTGTTCTAGTTATGACGAGAGGAACCTCGGCTGAATCCTGAATCTGCACCGTTGCATCATTTAAACATCAGCTGCAAACCTCTGCTCCTTTTTCTGCCGGTCTGCGTTTCTGTCAGCCGTTTGGCTCGGCGTGCTGATTGAAAAGCTCATTCGTCGCCATGAATAAGCACTTGGTTAGCTAACACCATCCAATCACACATATGAGTTATTGATTTATGATCGGAGGCGTTTCATGAAGCTGTGGGTGTGTGCAGCGTGTGATGGTGGGACGCAGCTGAATCCAAGTGGTTTTCTGTGTTTGTGAAATAAAGTAATTTTATTTTTATCCTAAAACAAGCTCAGCTGAAAACACAAACGTGGTTTTGACATTTTACAGAGAATTTTAAGTTTTTCTCATTCACTTTAAAAAGCAGTTCAGTTACTCCAGTAACTTGTCATTTTGTGAGGTTTGTCATTTAGAAGTGAAACATCATGAACGTATTCTCATTTCATGTCCAGATGACATGACTGAACCATTTTTGTTGTCATCTACCTGGAAGATTGAGCTTAAACCTTTTGTTCCTCATTTCTGTTTACGGCATCAGTTTAACACTGAATATTCTGTGAAACCCAAATGTGCCTGTGAGGCTCTTCAGACACAAATGATGGACTCTACAATGTAACAAGAGAATTGTCTTCAGTAGAGATTTATTAAATGCTGTAGCAGCTCACAAGCTCAACAGAGGGTCAGCAGAAGTTGTGGCAAAAGTCCAACAGGAAGAGTTTCTAACCTTTGGGGACCTGATACATGCAGAGACCAGAGGTGAGCAGATCAATACGAACAGCAGTATTATCAATATATCAATAATACGGTCGTGTCTTTTTTTTTTTTCTGCATGCTTTGGTATTTCTTGTTGTTTGTTTGGAGAGTCAAGACGGTTCTTCTCGTCCTCAGCATTTCATTTCATTGTTGACCTTGTGTTTATTTGAATATGACAAATAACCAAACCTGAAACCTGAAGTATCAATATCGAATGATATCAGTGCAATAGTATCAATACTGCAGTTTTTCAGTATGGATGACTGTGGTTTTGCTGGTTCTCCATAAAAGTGCAGCTCTCGTCAGTGCATGCAGCAGAGCCACCACTTACCCTCCTCTTCCTCCTCCCGTGATTTCCGTACGGTCAATGACTCAAGGTCACACGTGTAAATCAACTTTGTCCTGAGTCTGTGATGGATTTTATATAATTAATAATCTAATGGAAAAAACACCACCACCAAAACCACCTTCTTTTGACTTTTCCTTCTTCAGGGGTCTCCACAGAGAGTCATCCTCCTCCTCCTCTGTCCTCTATGTCCTCACTCTGTCCTCTGTGTCCTCTGTCCTCTCTCCAACCACCTCCATGTCCACTCTAACTGCATCCATATGTCTCCTCTTTGTCTTTTTCCGGCAGCAGCATTTCTAACATCCTTCTACCAATATACCCACTGTCCCTCC